TGCCAGAGGAAGTGGTGGAAGCTGGTACAATTGCACCATTTAAAAGGCATCTGGATGGGTACATGCATAGGAAGGGGTTAGAGGGATATGGGCCAAACGCTGGCAAATGGGTTGGCATGGACGTGTTGGACTGAAGGGTTTGTTTTTGTGCTGTACAACTCTATGACTCTACAAAGTCAGAGTGGTAATTAAATTCCATGCAGTTGGCTTCAACCTGATCCACACACTTGCCACCTAGCCAGCTTAAGCAAAAGGAAGACCAGTTAGTTATTCAGAGAATATTGGGAAAGCAGTTTATGAAGCTCTGAACATTTTCTTCGCATTTATTCAGCTGTAGCTAGTCAATAAAATGTCAAAATGCTACATCATATTGTTGCTGTAGAAGTGCAGAACTTAAGAGGTTAAAACATTGTTAAAACAACTGGAGTCTGTTTGGCAATCACAAAATGATTGAATAGATTTAGATATCACAGGCATGCATGTGACTATAGATAATACAGACATGTCAGTACACACTGCAGGAGTGTGTAAAACCTACTTCATCAAATGCCTTTCTAGTGTCTGTTTAATCAAGGACAATATATCTAAATTCCTATAACAGCATTTTCTATTTAAATTCAAATTCATTTTTAGTGAAATCTAAAAAGATCCACAGCCAATCTATCCCTAACTATCCTATAATCGCTGTGTCTGTAATAGACTTGAATTGTTTAGCTGGCTATTACTGGAAAACAGACCTCATTCTCACATAACTAGCAGGAAAAGCTGAACAGACTGGGCTTTTTTCTCCAGAAAAGGGAAGACCGAGAGCTGATCTGATAGAGATCTTTAAAATTATGACAGGGTTTTACAGAGTAGACATAGCAGATGTTTCAACTGGGACGCATGAATGCCTCAGTTTGTAGTATTCCTGCTTCGCAACCAGAAAACTTTGGTTTAAAGTGCCATGACTTGTAGCTGTGTTGATTTGTGCCTCAAAACAGACTGTTAATCAATAAGTACAAAATAATCATTTATAATGGGTTTAGGGGAACTACTTGATGCAGAAAGTGCATGATTTACGCAGGTGTGATTAAGCACTACACTCTGAAGGATATTAAAAATTGTGGTCCCTGGACAGAACTAATTATCACTGTGCCACAATGTAAAAGTTGCTTGCAGAAATACCTTGGAGAGATCCAGAGTGTTGTGATTTAAAGCCAAATTCTTGATATGACCAGAGTTTTCACAGGCAGCGTTCGCCATGAAGAATTCATGTGATACAACACATATAACTTTAGATATTCAGAGGTACTCTCAGTGATTTTCTAAATTAGTTCATGGGATGGTTTCTGCTTCGCTGGTTTGGCCAGCATTTATTACCCATCTGTAAATGCCCTGGAGAAGACTGTCTTATTGAACAGCTGCAGCCTTTTGGGTATGGGGACAACTAGAATGCTGTTATAGAGGATGTTCCAGGATTTTGACCTAGTGACGATCAAGGAATGCAATAAGGTTTCAAGTCAGAAAGATGAGAGACTTGGAAAGGACCTCACAGATGATGGTACTATCCTTCTAGGTAGTACAGGTCACAGGTTTGGAAGGTGCTGTTGACGGAACCTTAGTTATTGCAGTGCATCTTGTAGGTGGTATTCACTGCTATCGCTATATTGGAGGTGAAAGTTATTAACATAGTGCCAATGTATAGGCTGTTTTGTCCTGGATAGTGTTGAGCTACTTGAGAGTTATTGGAGTTGCACTCATTCAGACAAATGGAGAATAGTGAGTCAGGATTTGAGTTGCTCACTGCAGAATTTCTGTCCTTGTAGCCACAGTGTTTATATGACTGGTCCAGTTCAGTTTCGTAAATGGAAAAGCCCGGGATGTTGATAGTGGGGGATTCAGCAATGGGAATTCCATTCATCAAGGGGTGATGGTTAGATTCTCTGTTGTTGGAGGTAGTCTTTTGTGCTCCACACATTCAAATCAATGTTACTTGCCACATGTTTGCTAAATCCTGGATGTCATCCAGATCTTCCTCCATGGATACAGTTTGCTTCAGCATCTGAGGAGTCAGGAAATTTGCTTAGGCAGTTTATAATCTCGATTGTGTTTGCATTAATTGTAGTAACAATAACTGCTATGGTGACCAAACATTTTTCTTTAAAATATCTATCTAGCACAGTAAGGATGTGATTGGCCAGGTTATTACTTTAAAAAGAGTTTGGGTAGAATATACGATGTGGGTTTTCTCTCCTGACCAGAAATAAATGCTTTAATGAAAAAGAAGAGACTGATTTTAACTGACCATGCTACTCCTATCAATAGATATTTTCCTACTCAACCTGTTAAGAGATATTAATCCATACCTCTGGATCAGGTTGGACTTGAACCCAGACCTCTTGACCCAGAGGTAGGGAGACTACCGCTGTGCCATAAGAGCCTCACTCCTAGCTGTGTTTCTTGGCTGTGAATTTCCTCTGGGTGTCTTCCAATGATTACAATTTTAGCAGAATATCTGCAGGTGCCTATTTAAAAAAAAAAGGTAAATCATTGATGCCACTTCTGTACAGTTTTATGCCCAAATTATGATCGTAATTGAGGAAATCCCAATGGGAATTAAAATATCCTTATGCTTGATCAGCTCAAATCTGCATTGTTCTTTTTAATTTCTCCACTCAGCAGCTTTAATTCTCACTTCCTTTCACAATGTATCATGTGGAAGAGTACTCAATGTAAAATGGAAGCAATGGACACAGACAATGTTTTTTATGAAGTTTTTCTGCACTGTAACATTGAAGATTTAATGAGTTGGTATAGTCCTCAAATGTGGCCTTGAGGAATAATTTTATCAATGCATGTTTCTGGTGTTGTGTCTTGGCTGCCGAGAGTGCATATTGAGAATTTGAGCATGGTGCTTCCCATTATTTTCTATCTGTTTAAAATTATTGAATTAAAAATGATGTAGACTACATATCTGTCATTTTTGAAAGCTCTACTGCCGAGGAGGGAGCACAAATTCAGAGAATTGCTCATTTAGTGTTGTATTTGTTTGGAAATGAAATGGAATTTATCATACCAAATGTTGTTCTGTCATATTTTTAAATATAGAAGTTTTTATTGATTCGTAGGATGAGGGTGTCATTAACAAGACCAGCATTTAATATAAGATAAATAGGAACAACAGAAAGTTGATTTTTCCTCAAAGTCTGCTCGAACAAGATTATCGCTGTTTTTCTACTTGTATCCACTTTTCCTGTTTTATCTTCATACCATTCAATTTTCTTTGTACACCAAAGATGATCAACCTCTGTTTTGGATATACTTACTGCTGACCATCCACAGATCCCTGGGGTAGCAAATTCCGAAGATTCACAACTATTTGAGTGAAAAAAATCTCTCTTCATCGCTGTCTTAACTGGCTGATCCCTATCCTAATACTATGACCCTAAGTCTAGAGACCCCCCAGCCAGGGGAAACAATTTTCCTGATCATGTCAAAGTTTTAAGAACTTGATATTTCAAATAGATCACTACTCCCATTATTTACCATTACTTGGGAAGATGGTGGAGGGCCACTATCGTAGCTTACTCGGTCATTTCACAGGGCTGTTAAGATTCAACTAAATTGTTGAGAGTCTGGTGTCATATGTATGTCAGATTGGATAACATTCTTTTTCCCTAAAGGACACCAAGTAGGTTATTACAACACTCCAGCTGCTTCATGGTTGCCACTGCTGATTCTAGCCTGTTAATTCAGATTCCAGGTTTATTTACCCCCACCAGCTGCTTTTCCGGATAATACCTTCTACTTTAGGCCATTAGCCTTTGGCTCTGGGTTATGTCAGCAGTAACATAACCAGTATGGCATTGTATTCCAAAGTTGATCTTTTAAACCCATGATGGATGAAAACTGAATCATGGATTCTCAACACATGATTAATTATTACTTTTAAAAATTATGGACTTAAATTTGTAATTGAAAAGCCAATATGAGACAGAAACATGTTGATAGCTGAGAAACTGATCATCTGTATAGTGCTTTATTGTACAAGGTTATATCAGAATATTACTTTTAAAATGAACTCATTTAATGAAAATTCAATTGCTTTGCAACCATTTGTGTGATAATTCACTTACGAAATAGCATAATTAAAAAACATACAGAATATTGTACTGAATCATATTGTATAAAATACCCCTATAGATGGAGAGCTAGTGTTATGAGAGGGGAAAGAACAGCAAGGGTGGTGACTAAATGCTAAAACAAGATTCATTCACTCATGCTCTTAGTCAAACCTATGAAAAATGTTCATTCCAGCTTAGCTAAAAGAAGCTATCCTAGCATTGCAATTTTTGCTTGTAAAACGTGGCTTACAAACCTGAAGACACACCTCCATTAGATTAGAGACCCTTTCAAACTAGTGTCAAGAATGCAGCAATTTCAAATTCAGCTGAACCTGAACTTGCAGCTTTCTCCAGCTCATCAAACTGTCACTCAGCAATACTCAGTCGTGACACATTGAACAATGTTTGGTGCCAAAAGAGATCTGAGTATTCATTCTCTGAGGGCCCCATTGCTCAAGGAACCATGTGCTTATCTTCCTAAAAGTAGCAGGAACCTGATGACTCAACATATTCTGATATGTAAGAATAAAGGCTGAACGTTTATGTATGCAAACAAGCCTATTTATTCTGTTAAAACAGTGTCAATCAGAAAGCAATGGCACTGAGGGCATCATAAATTTCTGAACTGTTCCTGAGGAACAGACACTAGCTGTCATGTCTGAACTAGCATTTCACTGCTGGGGTAATGGATGCCTTCATCTGGCCCAGCAGTCAGCAGATTGCCCTGTGTTGATGGATACTGTCAGCTGAATGCTACACTAGATTTCACTGCACAATAAACACGGTTCTCTGAGCCCATGCAAAGTGAAATCAATTTATCCTGTATGCTCTGCGCATGCTAAATAAAATTAATGTACTGTGTTGCTCTCTTTTCTTCCTGCTCCGATGTTTCAGGGAGTAAGGCAATGAATGGGTCTCCAGCTAAACTACAGCAGTATTATTGTTGGCCAACAGGAAGCACTACGGTGACGGAGGCACGGGTTTACAGAGAAACCAGGGGTCGCAGCAACAATGAGCCACATATCAAACGACCAATGAATGCGTTCATGGTGTGGGCAAAGGACGAGCGCAGGAAGATACTGCAGGCATTTCCAGACATGCATAACTCAAACATCAGCAAAATCTTGGGTGAGTGGCTGAAAGAAGTGTTTCAAACAATGCAATGGATACCCACTAACAGCTTCTTCTTGGAGTAGTATATCTTATGTAAACTTGTATTGCTGATAAAAGATGCATTTCATCCTCCACTCATCAGGGCAGGTGCAATCATATCAAACTTGAAAAGGAACCACAATTTGCATTGCTTGAGAAAGGGTGCTGGTTGGATGGCAAGGGGAATCTTGTTGAGGTGTTACCATAGGAATGCATCAGGGAACTATTGTCCCACATGCATTTGTTTACTTCTGTTTTCAGAGAAGTGAGCCCTGTTTATGATTAAAAATATATCCTGGCAAAAATAAGTGAGCTGTGCACTGAGTCTGACTGATAATTTAATATTGGTTGTTAGTGTAATTCCTAGTACACCTAGGATTGTTCAGCTAGTGCTGTCCAAGCGCAAATGACATCTAATATTGAACTCTATATTTTGGGTTTCGCAAAAATGGACTGGAGGAGAATCATTAGTACTCTGCCTCTTGCAGGCAGCCAAAGAAATATGCTGTTTGATGCAACCCACTTTCCAACCAAACAGCACTTTTTCTGAACCTGTATATAATGTTGTTCCCTTTGAAATTTGGTGTTCTTACATCTGACCTGAAGAGAGCAAGACAAAAAGCTTTGACAGCATGTCTCTTTGTTCAGCAATACTCGAATCATTATTGTTACACTGTATGACTATGGAATCAGAAGTGTGGAGTAAGTTGGCACTAGAAATTACTTACAAATCTGTAATCGATACATTAGCTAACTCTCACTTAGGAATAGATATTTAGAATTTTAATACAGTTTCCCATTTTACACTTAGTAGCAATGAAACCCTGATGCTGTCAATCAATGTAGGTATTCTGTCCACTCCACAGTGACAGATTACATTGGATACCGTGCCAACATTTCTAAGTCACATGATATTCCCTTATAATTACCGCTTGGTTGGATTTCCTCAAGTTCTTTCTATCATAGTTGTAGGATCCACTGAATCTTTGAAGTAACATGACAAAACTGACTTTGGTTCGTCATGAAGTATGTGCATTTGCTATCCTGAATTAATATAGTAAAAAGAAAATAAAGGTTAGAAGATGATTGCAGTTGCAAAAGATGTTAGCAATAAGAAGCATAATCTTTACATATAAGAATGCTGTTGAAATTCATCAAAGTCATTGAGTTATAAAAGATATTAGATGGTATTGATTAACTAGTTTACTTAATCAAATTAAGGATCAAAAGACATTAATGGAAAGTAATGCCAAATAAGTTGAGGATATGTATCATGAACAACTTTTTCTTTTAAATTGTAATGAAGATTTGGATTAATCTAACAAATAATCTCTTTAAACAGCTGGTGAAAGCAAAAAGGACATTTTTTAATAATTTGGAGCTATATTCTCCAGCACAGATAAAGCCTGCATAAATTTTACGTTTTATGTTTGATAGCTTTAAAGTTTTATTTTACTGTGACCAGCCTGAGTTTCTTTTCCTGCTAAACAAGAAAGCGACTGGTTTAGCTAGTGAGAAACCAAAAGAAATGAGGATGCTGAAAATCAGAAACGAAAAGAGAAATCGATGGAAAAGCACAGCAGGTCTGACAACATCGGTTGAGAGAAATACAAGTTAATGTTTTGGGTCCAGTGACCTGAAGGTTCTGAGAAAGGGTCACTGGACCTGAAATGTTAACTCTGATTTCTCTCCATAGATGCTGCCAGACTGCTGAGTTCTTCCAATAATCTGGTTTTAGCTTAGCTGGTGACTTAGCCTTGGGCAATCATTGAACAGGATTTTAAGAGATGTCACTGTGGGGAATGCACGTGGAAAGTGCCCATAAAATTCATTGCATGGCCTACCAGCCACGCACCTGCTTGCCTGCAACCTCTCAGAAATTTTATGGGACATAGGCAAGGCCTAGGGAGACCAAACCTCTTTTGCTTTAATTGAGTGAATTGTCACTGCTTCCCCGCAGGCTGGAAATTTTAGCCGAGTAGGAGGCCAGGGATGTTGGGTCTTAGGTGGGAAAGTGGTAGAGGCTGTTCCATTTCTTATCCTTCTTTCTTGATCAGGTCAGCCTCCCTAAGTCTGCACACCCCCCACCCCAGTTGGAGTTCAATCTAGTCAACCTCTTTAACTTCCCAACATCCTCCCTGTTGGCCTTGCACCTAATACCCCTGTCCTGTCCATGCCATAAGCCCTCTCTACTTAACTTTGTTTTTGGCTTCCAGCACTTAGGCTCATGGCAGTACATTTTGACCAAAGGGTGGCCATCGCTCCTGGTGTTGTTTCTGCGACTGCAGAGCCTCCAGCTAAGAAATGTCAAATGACTACAAAGCAGCTGATATTGGGATAGGTGCAGACCCTGCTGATATCTTTGGTGGCAGGGTGGCAAAATCCACTGTCCAAAAATTCCTGCCCAGTAGGTGAGAGTGCTGTTCACTTTAGTAAGTGGAGAAAAGTGGTTTGGTATTATAAACAGCATTTAGATTCAGAAACAGGCATGTAAGTTATTGAGTGCACTTATAATGAGAAAATGCTTATCATGGAAAACCAAACAAATCTTCAGACACTGGACTTGCAGATGAAATGATAGTCATTCCAAATATTCATTCTGCAGAATCAAGCGATTTTGGTGGCTGATCTGGATACAGTCTCAGGCAGAAGGACAGCACTGTGGGAGCAGGAGCAACATCTTAGTTTGGTGTTGTGTCCAGCTGACAAAGCGGGAAGTAGTGCCTGCACTTTTAAAAACCCAAATCCCATCAGCCCACTGGCAGATCAGCAGTTTATATCAATGAAGAGGATCAAAAGGCAGAGCTCCAAAGGCCAAAAAGCATTGAAAAGCGGGTGGATCTGTCTGACAGGCTGCTGTCTGGATACCACTGGCTTGGAATTTCTAATAGCACGTTCAATAATTTAACATACAGTTCTTTTACTTCTCCAGTTCAGCAGCTGAATTTATGCTGTAATGAAATGAGATATTACTTTCAGAGAAGTACTGATTGGTATTTGTACAACATTGATTAGATTTAATTGAATACTGACTGATCATCACTCACACCACACCCCTGCCTCAATTGATAGCTACAAGGATTTATGATCGCATTATCCATAAAATAAAGCGTTAAGCATAACATCATAAATATCAATGAGTTCTATAATTATTAATTGAAAACTAGATCTTCTTAATATTAAATTGTTTCTACTGTGGAGAAGAATTTTAAAACTTAACTTTTGAAAGTTACTGAACCACTTCCATTCACTGCTCTCAAGCTTAATTCATTGATAGCATGACCCAATTTATATAATAGATACATTCGGTTATAAATTGAAAATCCTTCATTTCCCTCGATTATATTTCTGAATTTATGTTAGATTTAAAATATTTATTGGTCAAACCTGAAATGGAACATGTCATGAAATATGTCAATCCATTTCATTCAATTAGTTATTTATTATACGATCAAATAGTGTATCTCAGTACTTATTAATAATGTAATTTTGTTATAAAAGATAGGATCGTACCACATGGGAAGGTTAACTCTTGCTGAATTGTTGTGAATTACTTTAACATGCAGATTATTTTCTGATATGACTGCCTCAAAAAGGAATTTCCTGCATATTTCTACTGAATAATAGATCTGTGCCTTGAAAGGATGGTGTGGAATGTTAAAGCATGAATAGTCCTATAAAATTACTTAGCCACTATAAAGGTAACATTTAATATCTTCGTTAAAGTGAATAAGGAGAAATTTCAGAGAACCAGATTATGCCTTTGTTTCAACGATCCCATGATGACATTCTAAGTCTGATTTTTACTGCAGTATAGACACAGAAATATGGATATGTTCATGGCAGAAATCTAGAGTGAGCGCACTGAAAGTACAGAATTGCAATAGCAATAGATTCTCTGTGTATTCAAAATTTGATGATCATTTTTGATTACGCTCAAACATATCAATAACAATTGGTTTCACATGGTTGCAGTGCCAATGTTTTGCCTTCATTTAATTTCACTTTTCAATGATAGGTTCTTCTTGAAATTAGCTTTTTATACAATATTTTCACAAATTATAGGTTTATGAAAAATTAACTTATTTGTTGAATAGCTGCTTGGGAACTATAATCAGGTGAGCAGGTTTTGAATCATTCTGAAAGACCAAACCTACTTCCATTCATTTTTGTCATAGAGAACATCTGGTCTGTTAAACATGGAAATACAAATTCATAGCAGAAGTGTAAAATATTCTGCAGGTTTCTAATGCTCTTTAAGTCTACTCAGATGTCCAAGTTTGTGAAGTAGATTTGTGTTTTATTCCGTGTTGAGACTGAGCTGCCTAATGAATGATGAAGTGGCTTAGGAAACACAGGAATACCATTTTGCAATATTTATTCACAAGTTATAGAATCTTGACTTGAAACATTATATTTGATAGCAAAGGCATTCATGAACAGTTTTTAAGAATTCAGTTAAATATCAATATATTTCGTCTATAAGCAGTGATGTTCTAAATCTTTGGTGCCATACAGTGCAATAAAAGCCCTGAAGAATGCCGACAAGAATAAATCCCCACCTTCTCCCCAACCCCACAGCCCCAAACACACACACGTGTGGTGTGGAGAAAAGTGAGAAAAAATTGTGTTTTTTAAAGTGAGTCACTCTGCAATCCAATTAGGAACCATAACTTATTACACCACGATGGTCGTACATTTAATAGAATTTTTGTCTCAATCCTTTTTGTACTCATTGAGGTGAAGAATGCCAATCCTGCTGAGTAGAATATGTTTTATACCCAAAATTGACCTCCAAGGTTCCATTCAAAGGTTAGGTCAAAAATTGTTTGCTGAGCGTTACTTTACTGAAGCCTTGACCATACTAATCCCTGGTAAGAGTTACACTTGAATGGAAACAATTAATAAAAATATTGCTCATTTAGCAGCCCAAGACTCAAGCCTCTCAAGACTGGAGACCCGTGACATATATATTGTGGTTCAAGCAGAGTGTGAACTGGCCTATATGTACCTTGCTCACAATTAAATTGCCAGTCATCAAAATGGAAAGCCTTTTTCTCCTTTAAGTACATTAAGTGATGGCATTTACTTCTGCAATTTTTTTCAAGTTGATGGGCTTTTAAAGTCACACATGGTGACATAATAATACAAACAAAAGCAGCTTCACATGATGTGCCCAGATGTAATAGCAAATGAATTTCTGACCGCTAGTACAGCACACCTGAAACCTATAAATGCAATCCTTTTGAGTACCCAAATCATTTGTTGTTTAAAAAAAATGTTAGTTTTCTCCTTTTAGAGCATTTTAAATTTGAGTAATAAATGAACTTGAAATTTTTTCTGTGAATGTGTTCTCACAACAGAAATTATTTTAAATCCGATTTGTAATTGTATTCAAAAATATTGGAAGTGCAGAATTCATGGGTGGCAAGACAAGTGATGTTTTCATCTCTTCTCCCATGCTCTGAGGCAAAACATGCACCCCTAAAGACTTGAGTAGTACTACTGGAAATGCAATCCAGATGTGTCAGGCAGGTTTCAGTACTGTACAGCTCTAACTGTTGAACTTACAACTAACTCTTTAGGAAGCTGTTGAAGGACCAAGCTGCTTCATTACTGGACATGCTTGTATGCATATTGAAAGTAAACGGTGCAGGTTCAAAGCAAGGAAAGTGGATCTTTTCTGATGTGCATTAGCTCAGAATGTGCAATGTGAAAATTACAAATCATTTTGTCTTCTTGAAGAAAGGAATATTGTTTGGCACCAGCCTTGGATTTCATGGACAGATGCCTGCAGAAATTCTTTAAAGTGTGAGAAAGCCGTGATTGTGGCCAATGCATATTGCAAAATAACTGTACAGCTATGATACAGGGCAACTCTGTTTAAATTTAAAATGGGGAGTTCAGAAGTAAGTTACAGTAATTTCCAGGTTTATCAACTGATGGCAATGGGTACAGGAAAACAAAAAAAGCTATATTTACAAGATGACGAGAGGCTGGAGCAGTGGCTTAGTGGGTTAAAAACACTTGCCTTGTAAACAGGTGATCCTGAGTTTCAATTGGCAATGCCTTTTAAAGGGCTGTTGTGGCACACTGGCTCAGAAGTAGGAGCACTACTAGAAGGTGCAGGTTCAAGTTCCAAGGGTGTGTTATACCACATCTGAACAGATTGATTGATTTAACAATATCTACAAGATGACTAGGAACAAAAATTTGATTAATCTCTTGAGCACTCAGCTAACCCTCTTGACATTTCACTCATTGGCTCATTATTAGAATCTGTCCACTTCACAGATGCAAAATTCTATTCACATTCCATAGGACCAAGAAATGTTTTAAATGTGTAAACTAAGGCCAATAGTAGTGGGAATCTCAAAATTTGAAAGGAGTAGTGTGGCAGTAATAATTAGGTGACACCAAACTTCAATTTTGAAAGCATGTAGGATGTAGGCAGCTTTAAGTTTCTGTAAAAGAGAGATAAATGGAAGAGACTCTACAGTGAGTCTTCATTTCAACTCAGTGAAGATGCAGGGAAGAAGACAAGTGATTATGATGTTGAGGTGCTGAAGATGAAAGTGACAAATTGGGATGATGCCAAGGAGAAATTCAAAGTTGAGGGTGGCGATAAACTGAAGGATAATGACTTAACATGGATCACCTGTATGAGCATATTTAGAAAGGAATGCATCTGGTGATGTGGCAACAGTTGCCAATCAGCATTTTGATGAAAAAGTTCTTGTTTAAGATCTTAGATTAAAATAATGCACTATTAAAATATTACCGTGCTAAACTGCCATTCCAAAAAGCATTTAAGACTCGCGTTCTACATATTAGTGTTCTTGTCCAGAGAGGAATATGGTTCCCTGAGCGAAATCAGAATATACCCCAAAGCAAGACATAGTAATCATAAATAATGGAAAAAAGATTTGTGGTCCTTCCGTATGAAGCTGATTCCATCTTTGATAGCCATGAAAGAAAAATAAACTCTTACCACAATTGTTCCACAGAATCTGTTTCTTGTTAAATGATTTGTTGATGTTCTATTTCCTCCACATTGGAAAAATCTGTTGGAAATTATGCCCCTTTATATAATATTTCTTCTACCATTTTCAGACAAGAGGGTCTACCTTTTGTAATTTTCAAAGGTAGGGACTCTTCCTTCAAAATTTTTCATTGTACATCAATGGATAGTGTTTGTAAGTTGTCTACAAACTCTAGGACAGTTCTGTTGGCAGCAATAGTGTATCTGTCAGTTCTAAGCTGTTGAGTGTATCGAGTGGCAAAATCAGGCCTGTCTTTAGCAATGCCCTGACTAAAATTTTGTTAGAAAGCACCAACCCTTAATTATAATTGATACCTTTATAATCACTGCATTTACTTTATTGCAGTAATGTCTTGAGCAACACCACACACAAAAAAAACAAGATTTGTTACATTGTATCTCTCCCCAAAACAAAAAAAAATACAAGCAGTTGGGATTAAATTAATTATGCATTCTTGAAAATCCTATTATTCTTTGTTAAACATTTGCAGCCTGAGAAAGAGTAAGTGACCTAGTAAAACCTAATAAAGATTGGACAGCTTACATGGGAGAGTGTGGACTTGTGTTGAAAACTTCATGTCACCTTATTTTAAATGTTCAAGATAAAGGAACTAGAGTCAGATTTACCATTAAAAAATTCCAGAGTTTTCATTTTTCTTTCTCTTTTGCTTGCTACTGCACTCTGCAGTTGTCCCCAGGAGAATTGTTAGTGTACAGTAGGGTTAAGCCTTTACATCCTTAAATTAATGCTTTCAACGTTTTTTACTTGGCAGTCTCCTCAAAAAGGAAGAGTTTAATGATAAAATGAAACATACGGTAGCTGGTTAACTACTTCAATTTGTGCTTGATGTTTATGGGCATTTTCTTTAAAATAAGTATGTGACAGTGCAAGTAGATTGAATGCTTGTTTTCAAAGAATACTTTTTTTTGACAATTTAATCCTTTGGAATTTAGAGAAAAAGCATTATTGTTCTGCCAAATACTAAAAGAATAGAAATGTTTGAAACTCTTAATAAGCAGATTGGATTTAGAAATAAGTTATTGTGTAGGTTTCATGTTGTGATAGTTGCTTTAATAGTCAGAGGACTTCCTTATTTATAGAGTACAAACATCTGCAGAATAACATGTGCAGATTGAATATTCATTTCAGCCAAATCAAGTGCTAATCCAAGATAACACTGTTCAGAACAGGAGAGAAGCTAACCAAATAACTAAACAATAGTAAATAAAAACTGAAAGAACTGCAGATGCTGTATATCAAAACCAAACACAGGAAAAGCTCAGCATGTCTGGCAGCATCTGTGGAGAGAAATCAGAGTTAATGTTTCAGGTTGAGGTACCCTTCCTCAGAACTGATGATAGCTAGGAAAATGTCAGTTTATATTGCAGAAGATAGGTTGGGGGGAGGAAGGAGTAATCTAAACAATGGTTCTGAGTAAATGAATCAGATGGTACTTCCCTCGTGATAGGACATTCTTAAGGTACTGGTTTCAAGTCCACGGAGGAAGCCAGTGTGTTTCAATGCAGCACCTCATACTGAAAAATATATCCGAGTACTTTGTCAGGATAACATTAAACTTATTTGTGGTGTCCTGCACAGTAAAATAGATTACTGATGTTCATAATCTTTGTTAGCCTTTTATTCCCAGTGATTTTTAACCAGGCATAACTTAGCATTAAAATTGAATTGTGTGCTTATGCAAACAATGTCTTGATTACAATATCACACAACCCACGTTCTCAGACGGTTTAATGTGATGCGAGCTGCTTTTTGATTTTTGTCGGTCTTTTGTAGGATCTCGCTGGAAGTCCATGTCCAACCAAGAAAAGCAGCCATATTATGAGGAACAGGCGAGGCTCAGCAAGATGCATTTAGAAAAATACCCTAACTACAAATATAAGCCCAGACCAAAGCGCACGTGCATTGTGGATGGCAAGAAACTGCGTATTGGTGAATATAAGCAGTTAATGAGAAACCGAAGGCAGGAAATGCGGCAGTTCTTCACTGTGGGGTACGTGTTATTATGTTTTTAATAGAAACATTTTCTAAAGTATGAATTCTCAAAGGTTAATTTGGAAAGAAGTGTTGTTCAAGAGAAGCAGCAAACAGGTTATAAATATATTGGCACCTGAACCTCTCCAAACCAGCAGCCACTTCGCATATATTCCAGACAGGAAATAGGCCAGTTGCATGTTAAAATGCAGCAAACCAGCAGAAACACATTGGGAATTAATATACATGCAAATAACTTTCTTGTTAATTTTATTTATTCAATTTCTGTTCAAATAATTTTGCAATCAGTAATCTAAGACTTCTTTTTGACATTTCGCTTCAACATTTCCGTTGTCAGTTGAATTGTCTGACTAATTAGCATTATACAATTTACCAATCTCAGCAGTGGGATAATTTACATATTTAGTTCAGAGCAAGTGCCTATAAGAGATACCTGCCCTAATTCAAGCCAATCCCAGAGCAAAACTGTTCCCAATTGTTCTAAATGTGATCCCCCAAAGACCCAAGGAAAAACAAAAACAGAAATGGCTGAGAAACTCAGCAGGTCTGGCAGCATCAGTGGAGAGAGAAATATAGTTAACATTTCAGGTTTAACATGGATTTATTGATGAGTTTCTCCAGCACTTTTTGTTCTTAGCATCCGCTTTTAGCTGAAGAAAACATGTTTTCCTCCCAAGTCCTCAGCTTTTACAGAAGAGATATCAGCAATAGATTACCTGTGGGATTGATGTGCCTTACTCTAGGAAAGGACAGGGACTTTCAAGTATCACACGACAAGTATACCAAATGTTGGGAGTTCTTATGAAGGCTTTCCTGAGTATTAAGGGAGAAATTCAAAGTGAAGTTCATGAACTGTCAAGTTCCCCTGAGAAGCAGAGGTGAGTAGGATATATCTAGTTATCCCCTAAGCAGAGTTGAGTGGTCCAGTTTAGAAAAGGCAGAATCTCAGCAAGAATTCTGCCTCATATTCTGAGCCCTTTTGGTGAAAATGGAACCTCTCCTAACCTAGGAGGCTTGGGGGCCAGCATTTTTAAAATACAGTGTTTAACCGGTGTCCCTGTTTTGTAGTTCTTAATTGGTTGGTCAAACATTGGTGGAAATACTGTTCTGTCAGTATGTTGTGAGACAAAATGGAGAAAATGGTTAGGAGAGTACAGGGTGTATTGGTCTATTGGTGTGATATAAGCACCCATCAGATTCAGACTGCTCCGACTGTCTTTCTTTGCAGTTGTTGCTGACAGAACAAATAATGCAAGAACATGATGACATTTGATCTACTAGTTTTATAATAAACTTGAGTCTACTAGCTATGATCACACATGCACTCTAACAAATCCACCATGGCATGGGCATGGTCATTTGGAAGATTGTAATGGGATCTGTGTGAAAAATGGAAGAAGGTACATGAACAAAGTATAATACTCAAGGGAATTCACTTATCACTTAATGGCTAATAATACCTCGTCCAGATACATATAAAACAAAATGGAAGTTGCACCTAGCCCACACCCTCTGAAGATTTCATACCAGAAGTGATATACAAAGCATCACACATTGTTGCTAATGCTGTGAAAAAGGGGACAAGCTTTGACTTAATCAACTTTTCTGCATTAAGAGGGAACAGTTGGATTTTTCCACCTTTATAAAGGTTCTGGGATTAGAATTATGGAGCTCAGTCCAGGCGATTTGACTCTGATTGTCATCCTTGGATTATTTGGACCATGATCTACTCGACATTTATAGGGTTGTTAAAGGAATGAATGAAAGTAAACCTAGAACAATACTTTGAAATTAAACTTGAAATATAGAACAAGAAGACACAGATACTAATTTTAGGATTCATTCCTGGAAATTGTATTACACACAAACAGTGATCAACATATGGAATTAATTTCCAGATAGAGAAATGGAGACAGTAAGCACAGATTTATTAAAGAAGTAACAATGGTTGCAATAGTGATACTAAGATTTAGCCTGTATTTATTTTATGAACATTTGAAGTAAGTGGAATGGAAAGTGCAGTCCTGTTCTGTGATGGGATAAGAGTCATAGAGTATGCTGACAAGGAGCTATAAAATGTGGGAATCTGACAGCATGAAATGTCCCAACCTCCTCTACAGGTAGAATGTTACTCAAGATCCTTATACCAGTGCTGTCAACTGCCACCAGTAGCAATATTATTAGGTTCAAGTAAATGAGTCATGTTCATCATGTCTTCAAAATAATTTATTTGTTGATTTCAGTTGCTAACAAATCAGTTTTCACCTCTGCATAGGCAACAACCTCAGATTCCAATCACCACGGCAGCAGGCGTAGTGTATCCTGGTGCTATCTCCATGGCAACCACAGCAGCATCACCACAACTGACATCCGAGTGTTCCAGTGAATCTGGCAGTCCAGAGCCAAGCATCCCAGTCATCCAGAGCACTTACAGCATTAAGGGAGAAAGCGGCAACCTGGGCGTGAACGAAATGATAAATGGTGAAGATGAAATGGAAATGTACGAGGACTATGAGGATGATCAGAAATCAGACTATAGCAGTGACAATGAGAATCAGGAGGCCATCAGTGCCAACTGAAGAGCAACTGCAATCAGACTGTTATTTTGAACAAAAAAAGTTATTGATGAGCCTGCATGTGTGGCTCCAACAGATTCATCAGCAATGGTCTTAAATGTTTCTTAATGTGTGAAGCATTCTGATTGTTCTTTTTATTTTTACAAAGTATCATGGACATTTTACATTACTGGCTACAGCCTGAAAACAAAAAAAAAGTCAGGACTTGAAAGCTGTTGCTTAATATAGATTCACAGCTATCTGGCAGTCTTAAGTTTTTTTTTCCTTTCTCTTTTTTGAGCTTGTTTTAAAATGCTTTAGTTACTGTTTTCTTAAGGGGTGGGGGGTTTTATTCTCACTCAGGTATGCTGTGCCAACCAGCAACTTGTGAATGTGTTTTTAATCTGAGCTATTTAAAATAACTTAAATTTCGTAGTTTTAAAAAGATTGGGGTTGGGGGTGGGGGGATGGGAACCAAAACAAAAATGGCAGCACGTGTGCACAAAGAGCACAGCATAAAGCAGAACAACAAAGAGCTGAGCCCTGACTGGCTTTCCTTTTTTTAAAAATTCTTTATTTTTGAGTTGCATATTGTACTGTTTGAATTAAGAAAGTGCCAAACTTCGAATAGCATTTTAATCTTAACACTCTGAAAAGTCTTATTTGGGAGATGCTACAAAAGTCTTAGACAATCTTCTGTCATCTTAATGAGGAACAAAAAATATATAGCTACACTTACCAATATGGTTCTTTCCAGACAACAGTGACGTTACTCAGGAATACGAACGAAGGATATCTATTTGAGACAGAGGAGGAGCTTGCCAGAGTGCATGTGTCCAAACACTTTTTCTTGATGTGTCACGATAGGGTGTTCAACAGTTATTTTTCACTGCAGCCAACATGAGTATTTGCTGCCTCACTTGTCACTGAAGCATAGTTTCCAGCCCTTTACCTCATTATGTTGGTTTCCGTTGAGAGTATCTTAGTCATTCCAGTGATCCATGGGGCCAATAATCTAGGATTATTGAGTTTAAAAGAAAACACAAGGGGGAAAGAAAGGTGTAAAACCTGGGGGTAAAATCAGTAACCATAAGTTTCTGGGTGGTCTGACCAAATGGAAAATACCTTTATCAAACCAGCTAAAAGGGTAAAATTTGAGCAGGAATAATTCCGTTACTCTGATTTTGCCCCATGTAATTGGCACTAGCATTCATCATCCTTTGCCTCCCCCCACAAAACACCCCTTGAATTAGGAAGCTTAGACTGGGCTAATCTTATTTCAGCCTCACAGGAATATTGTTGAGGTAACAGAGAGCGAGAGAAAGGAGAGAGGGGTCTCGATGTTACATTTGATTTATGTTCCAACTGACCCTAGAGCCTTACCTGCTGTTCAACGGTGTTAAGTAACTTAAAGAAAAACCATTTTTCATTCCTCTGCATTTTTAGCTTTCACCTTGATAAGCACAAATAGGGTAGGGATGAGTAGGGAGGGAACTAAACACTAACAGCTTAACATTTTACTTAATTTCACAATGTCTTAATTCAGCTACTGCATTGCTGTGAGCATTATGCATGTAAGGTCTTAAACATTAATGTGATTTGATATGCAGGAAGTGGGTGAGGTTTACCACACGTAGAAACAAGACAGGTAAATTACAAAAATATTATGGTACATCTCCATTAACTTGCCCTGTGTATTCAAATCATTCATCCCAAATACTTAATATGTGCTGGAAAATATAAATGACCATTATTAAATTTAAAAGGCACTATTGATAGTTCCATTGCATTTGAAATTGGGGAGAAAAATATCAACTATTGCTGAGAAGTGAGGCAGAATTCTGCTTATTATTTAAACCCAAAATGAATACTGATACTCCATTATTTAATGTTGGATTAGTTTAATTTAGACTGTGATGCTTTAGTTGGAATATCATGCAATGAGAATAACTGATGAACACACTATTTAGCAAATTATTCAAAGTACTAAGAGAAGTTATTCCTTTCAAAAAAATACTTTGAACTTTATATCTGGCTTCAACTTGAGGGAGGGAGGAATGAGGGGATGGTCTCTATTTCACATGATATAATTTATTAAGGTTCTTATAAATTCTGAGTAATAATCAGCTCCCCTCAACTGCTTTTATTTTTAAAATTCAGTTTTACTTAGGACAGTGTATGGCTTGTAGTTTGAGAGTACATATTTTAGTTCATTTTTCATTGCACACAAACATTTAGTTGTTTTAGCTGTTTTGTTGCCATGCCAATATGATATAGTGCAGGCTGGTGGGAAAACAAAGGACTGTTTTTTTGGGACTGAAACTTGATTATGCTTGTAGTGTGTGTATGTAAATATTTTTATATATATGTAATATATATAATGATACACATACACACATGGACACACACATTACATACACGCTCACACACACATACACACAGGATGTTTTAAAGTGTTATGAGCACTGGATATAAATGATATTTTTTATCACTTCTGACTAATGTGAAACTGTTGTAAGAGATACTACATGAACAAAATGTCACCTGTTCCGACTCGTGTGGGCCTGCCTCACAGTTGCCAGATTTGAGTCATTTTATGTCTAGTAACTTTATTTATGCAAAAAAAATGTTATGTATGAATACTTTGTTTTAGCTCCTGCCCAGTGTCCCTTTCTCCCTCACTTCTGTCATCCTTCCTTACCCTGAATTTTTTAAATCTTCCTTTTCTCTCTCGCCAACCAACCCCACAAACATTCTTCATTTTCTATATGACCGCTGATTGGCTAAACAGACGTTGCCAAGCTCATTATTTTTTATTAAATGGTCATAATTATTTCTTTGTAAATTGCATTTTAAGGTTGACTAGATCAAATAAATGTTTGTGTAATATTTATTAGCCGAATTCAGGCTCTAAAATATCACTGCAGAGTTATTCAACCAAGACAATCAAAAAAGGAAATAATACAAATTTACTTAAATTGGAGCTTAAAACAAAGTTACAACAAAAAAATCCACCATCTCATTTTAGATTTTTTTAAAATTGTAAATATAACATAGGAAATAGAATTCTATTTTTGTTCATGATACATAGTGAAATATAAGTTATGTATTTACTGTTTTGTTATACATCATTGTATGTTGGTCCACATTTTTAAATGCTGACAAATCGCTGTACCTCATGTAGATGCTGAACTCACACCCGCAATGATATAACAGTATTGGACCTTTAGCTGAGGCGTTCAGACACCTTGCTTGTGGTCAATTTCTCATGTTTTTGTATTGTAATTATTATTATTAAGGATATATATATAGCGTTACAGTTAGTAATGTGCAGAGTAGGGAAATAATTTTATTTAAAGAGAAAAAAATCACTTTTTGAATCATTGTACTGTGCCCCATTTCATGGTAGGAAAAAAAAACAAACAAACAATCAGACAAAATTTGTAATTTCTTTTTATGTATTCACCTTTTCCTTCTGTGTAAAAGTAAGGTTATCAACCTGGGGTTGGTCAGTGGGAGGGGGGTATTTGTGGAAATCAAACATTGTTCCATTCGCTCTAAGTCACTTCTCAAAGTGAGTTGTGATTATGGGAATGTGATAGCCAGCAACTCACTTTTAACTGTTTCTAAGTGGCATGATGGTGTTGATGAATTAGCAAGTCCTGGCACAATGACATGTAGCAATATGCGCCAACAGAGTCAGGAATATAACAACGAACACCAGATGGTAATGAGATACAAGATAAGCAGGGAACATGACAAATAGAAGAGGCTCTCACTTGATGCCACTGGTTCAACCAGTTAAGTCAATCTTACCTCAGTTGTATTTAAATAATAATTGGCCTCAATATTCATAGCTTTTGTGGCATAAGTAAATTAGTTTGGAACATTTCAGGTGGCTGCAGCCATGAATCAAATTGCCTTTCCAATTTTAGATCATTGCTTGCAAATATCATGCAAAGGCAGGCATGTCAGCAAACCTTGCCTCATTGTTATTGAATAAGATACTTTTTAAAAAAAAGTTTCCTTAATTTTCTCACACAGAAGAAGGGTAATGATTATTGTGAAAGGGGCAATGCCTTCCTTTAGAGTGTTTGACAAACCTTTATTTGGAAAGGGGAAAATACCAAGAGCTGTGCATCATTTTCAACATGTGCAATTAACATTTTTGACTTTCTTCTTTGTGTCATGTGTTACATTAAATGGAAAATAAGTTTGCCAAACACTTTCTTTTCCTAAATTTGGGTGATTATTATGTCTGATTATTTCATGCATCAGCAAAGCAGATGGGATCTGAATAAAAATGGGCAATTGTGACTGCAGCAAATTCACCCAAATCTGGCAGAAGTACTTAAGTATATGTTTAAAATATGTGTATAACAGACGCAGGAGATAGTCCTGATTCCTAGATTAGTAGCTGCACTTTTTGTGATGCCACATGTAGTAGGGTGGAGTAAGCAATGATGCAAAAGTTGTTGTGCATTGACAGCAACACCCTTCCTGGAAACTACCATTCTTAACAGTTCAGTGATAATTTCCCAGGCTGTGGCATCGTTTAAAACAAAACATATGTTGCATTAGTTGTTCTGTTTTAGAAAATAATAATTTTACCCAATAACTTGATCTGCCATATGCATTAGTCTCAAATTTGACCCCAGTGTCAAAATGATTTGAGTATTTTTTTTCTACATTTAACGCAGTATTGATAATGTGGAGTCCTTGCAGCAAACCAGTCATTTGGCTAACTGTGGAGTGACAAAGTGTATTTACTTTTTGGTGAATGCAATTAGGACTTGTTCCTAAATTTCACCCACCCTTCTTCCCCTGTAATTGTCACGAGCCAGCAAACATGCCAGGCTTCTGTGAAACACACAAGTGAGGTGTTTGCCGCTTTTGGGAGTATGGGGAAATGTGCAAATAACATTTTTATTTGTATCCTGCACACTGCAGCCTTGCTATGTGTATCTGCTGTTTGTCTTTGTCACTTGCGTTCTGTGCTGGAGTGTGCAATTTTATAAAATGGCCCGCTGTCAGCTTTAAGAAGAGTAACAGGAGTTCTTATATCATTTTGGTTCATTCATTAAGTATTTGACATTTTTTTTGTTGAAAAACTACAATTAAGACACGCTTATAAGCTGTTCCTACATAGCTTCTTACTGTAACCTTTATCTTCCAGCATTGGAAGCTATACTTTTCATTGTGATGTATATTGTGATGTTGTTTTCCATGTTAATTTAATCGGCACAATTCACTGACTTGCTGGACTGACATGCTAGCTGCTGGTAAAGTGTAAGAGGTTTGGTTAAGTTTTATTTTGTTTAAGCGCACGTGTGACTGACAACCTGGACTCTTGACACCATGGTACTATCTAATCTTTTGTCCCAATTGCAACACTGTGTGTGGCTCTTAAGAAATAAAGGGCTGCTCCACATGTGTCTTGTACAGCAGAATTTAATAATTTAATTTTTTTTAAAAAGTTCAACTTCTCCATATTTTGAATTTATAACAATGCAGATACCTGGGCCCACAGCAGGTAAATGTTTGGATGTTTAGAAAAATAGTGTCTGCTGCTGCTTTGAAAATGTTAGAAGTCTGACAATATGTAAATAATTTATCAAAAAAAAGAAAAAAAAAGACTTGTACAGTCTCGTGTAAAGTTTGTAATTGAACATAAAAAGAAACTCCATCACATGTTCCTGATATTCTGCTCTTAATACAGTACAAAAGACAACTTGTTTGCAAAAGATGATGTGCAACCTTCTTGATTATGTTCAATGTCCTACTGTCACTTTTTTCCCTGCTTGGCATTATTCATAATGTAAACCAGCCTTTATTTTCTGCAGTATTGACGTGAGGTAAAGAAAAGAAATAATTAGGGTTAAATTTACTTTAGCGGTACTAGTAGTCTGACCTTCTCTGCCTCCATTATATTTGAAATAATAAAAAAAGATGTTGAAAACACC